TGTGCACGTGTGTGTCCTTGTGTATGTGTATGTGAGTGTGCTGTATGGATACTCTCTCCTCTCAACACCTCCTGCCTTGCTTTCCTCAGATACTGACTCAGCAGCGACTGTCAGGTCTGCTTAATTTTGTCATGGTTGACTTCCTGCTACCTGGAGTCTCATCTGCCAGAGCCCCTTAATCCGCTTGTCACTCACAACGACAAAAAGCTAGGAAGGTACTCCTTGAATTAAGACAAGGAAGTGGAGCATTGGTGGGTGAATGTTTTTCTGCAGGTGCGCAGGTGCAGGTACAGGTGCATGGCATCAGCTGCGGGGGTTTCAGCGTTATGTAAAATGTCAACCATATTCCAAGAATATGCCTAGAACAAGCACTTATTTAATCCATGTAAGCAATGTCTTGTATGATAATAGCCAGATAAGGTTATGAATAAAGAGGTTGCGACATTTAAGCGATGGTTCTGTTCTCCGGCATGTTATAGCTGAATGGAATTAAAAATGCATTTACTCAATGCTACTTTAGCCAGACCCACAGGCGAGACGGGCATAAGGCGTGCAGCTGTTGCTTGGGATGAAGACATGGAAAGAGGATTGGCAGAATGGGCAGTCCTGAGGAGGTTTGGTGATGTAGAGAGGAGAGATATGTTTTATTAGTTTTCATGGATCTCTATATTCCGTCTGTGTCTAATTATGCCTCCAGGTTGCCAACACTACTGCTGATCTGCTATGAGAAAAACTAGCAGTTTTTGTAGACACCAATACAATAAGCAAACATATTGGCTGCTTATTCTGCAACCGCCTATAGTGCTGAATGAGCATGATTTTAAAAAGCTCGCCCCAATGGATTAGATTTCAGTTCAGGCATTTTGCTGAGGGATTTTTTCTCAAATTAGTAAAACTTAAAGTTATCATTTCTGTAGTCCCAAGACATCTGAATTCAATCAAATTGAATATAAGAACTTCAAACAGCAATTCATACCATCATGGTTGAATAATTCAACCCATTAATCTAAGCCTCAAATGAGACTTTACTGGCATCGTTGCCATAGTCAGATTAAAATGGATGGTGATGCTAAGAGTGGGATTAATTGCATCTTTACCCTTGTTGATATACTTGTATTGTAAAATTGCATTTGTAAGGCTCTAAGTATGGGATTCAACTAGTTAATCAGCAGTATAAATGTGTGCTTTATTGGAACCCACACTATCAGGAGTCCCCAGATAAATAAAAAACAAATCCTTAAAACACATGTCTCTTCAAATAATCCCAAATAGCTAAATCTCTCAGTGAATCTGATTTGAATATTAAAGTAACACGTGTTAAGCATTAAGGTATATACAATCATGTGACATTCCAAGTTCTATAAAGTGCAGCCTATTTTCCAAACTGCTATCTGCTAAGCAATGTGTTATTTCAGACCCAGAGAAGTCTAAATAATTATGCTCGCCAGAGCTTGAAATTAACACGAGCTAACTCACTCAGTCTAGGTTCAATTTGACTGTGGCAGGTAACACCTACAACACAACCTGCAGGCTTTGTTAGCTGAGAATTTCCGACCCTGTTTCCATATCAACACAGTACTTCTCTGCTACTGAGGCTTCAACTGTGTGTGCGTTAATGTATTCTCTCCCACCTACTCATTTGAAAATATATACATTAGTTGATAAAGTGGTATGTTTTCCAGTCTTTCATCCCCAGTGCAGTAGTTATTTTATTGTAGCAGAAGGGCACACGAACACATTGTAGTCAGGATTGCAAATATTAAAAGAGAGGCTGAATGACATTTGCATAATTGTTTTGTTTTTTCTCCCAATGCACTTGTAGACATAGCCCTTTTTCTTTATCTGTGATGTGATGTATGTTGTTTATTTACGTATAAGTGAACATACTTGGGTGGAATACATTCTCGAAATACACTGATGCATTTTGATAATCAACGCTTGGTTCCTCTGGGTTATCCGGGTCCACACAGCTATACTGGGAGCCAGGGCCGTTTCTAGCTTTTTGGGGGCCCTATGCAAGATGCTGTTTGGGGGCCCTAGTTTTGACAGTTTTTTAACTACAATGGGGGGGATTCCGAAGCCTTTAAGATGATCTGTGGAGATGCATCAATCTGTTACACTTTAATAGGAAAACAGGCTAATTTCACAAAAACCAAGCAATTGAAAATTACAAAAAATGATATTAAAAAGGTAAACAATAAGGCTCCTCTATGTCAATAAATGCAAGAGATGCAGCATTTTCTCAGCTGTCAGCTTAACGATGATTTGGACTTTATTACTCCAAAAACCCAAGCCACAGCTTTGCTATCATTGCAGTTTAGTCGTGTTTATATCCTACATTGGATTTGTAAGCATATAATGCTTCACCGAACACTCACAGGAGGGGCTTGGCTGTCTACAAATAAAGACGGCTCATTTGAATTCTCCCCAAATATATTGAGGCTGAACCTGAACTTTGAATTCTCTGCTCCCATCATAATCTTGGCGATCTTGTTAAAATTGTGAATGCAGAATTAAAAATACTATGTAACTGGTTTGCAGTTAATAAATTATCCCTTAATGTGGCCAAAACAAATTACATGTTATTCAATACAAAGTCTGAGAGTAGAAATGACTGCATTATATGGATTTGCAATACAGAGATAGAAAAAGTTGGTGCATGTACATTTTTAGGACTGCTTGTTGACGAAAAACTCAATTGGAAGCACTATATAAATTATGTACAGACTAAACTGTCAAAAACAATAGGTATTTTGTATCATACTAAGAACATTCTTGAAGAAAATATACTCTTTATAACAGTCTGTTTCTCCCTTACCTTTAATACTGCTCCGAAATATGGGGAAACACGTACTCAACAAATCTACAAAAAATAATAACATCCCAAAAAAAAGTATTATGAATAGTCTGTGGTGTTGGTAAATATGAACACACAACTCCCATATTTAAAAAAACTCAATCTATTAAAATGTGTTGAGATAGTACAGCTTAAAACAGTACTGATTATGCACAACATTTTCCATAACAAAATGCCTAATAACATTCAAAAGCAGTTCCAAACCACAGCGTGAACATATGAATGTAAAAAAAGTCACTTGAAAATAAGTGTTCACAATGTCTATATGCAATTATGCATATATTATTATTATTATTATTATTCATTTGCCAAGTGCATGACGTACCTATGTATATATAGTATTTTAATTTCCAAAAAAAGTTGTTGAAACTGCTATTGACATGTGCAGAAAATGACCCTATATCTAGTTTTCGTATATATATATGCATTTATTGTTTTCCTGCCCTAACTTTTATTTAATTTTTTCTCCTGTTTTCTTTATTTATTTGTACTCCTTAATTTCTATACGTTTTTGACGCAATAATGCCGCTGTATTAGGATGATGCACGGGAGGGCTACTTTCCACAAGCTATGCTTCAGCCCTCCTGCTTCTACTAATGTTGTTCATCTTTGTGTGTATGAATTCAACTTTTTTTGTTTTTCGGATTAATACAAAATAAAAAAATACTTTCAGCTTGGGGGCCCCCTAGTGGCCGCGGGGGCCCTATGCCCCCGCATAGTCCGCATATAGGAAGAAACGGCCCTGCTGGGAGCTAACAGTCTATGCTGCTGAACTGCTGACTTGTTAATCAGGTTTACATCTTCAGACATTCCTCAAGCCATGTTCAGGTTGGCTCTGACTTTATTTTTGTAGTTTCTGGGTATGTATTGCTTTACAAACTAGTTGGATATCAGCAAGGACATAGCAGTATTGTCCTGAGCAGTATTATCTATTGGTATACATATATATTCATGTTAAATATTTGTATACCAATATCAAGCACAATTTCTGGAAAAATGCCGCTCTCATATTGATTATTATCCAAGCTGATGCCACCTCCCTTTTAGCCTGAGACTAGAAAAAACATTTGGGCTACCTACTGAACATTGCTCAGGAGAAAGATTTTTTTTTAAACTCTGATTTGATGTGGTTTAACTTGATATAATGTCTACTTCACAGTTGCTTTCACCAGCCCTGTCTCCTCAATGTCCCTGGATGAATGAGCATGTGAATGACCAGAGCCGGCAAGCAGTTGCAGGCAGTGCACTCACACAATCTGAACAACAGGCATCCAGAAAGAGGTGACTGTCTTCAGCTTCAAAATAAAGGTTATTTTTTCAAAAGGCAAAATCTTTGTACCCTGTCCCTGTTTTTTACGTTTATGGAAAACCTATTTTAAGCAGCTTGGTAACATTTATATTGGTTCAGTTTAAAACCGTGCTCATCTGACCCTAAAATGTAATTATTATGCATACAGGAAGTATGTGATTAGAATCAGACCGCTATTTCAGTTACATGTATTTAAATTAAAGTATTACATTATGGCTCCCATCCCGCACTCACACTGTGGTGGTTTCTTTCTGTGAACACCTACTCCCCTTTATATGTACCTTTGTGCAATATGTTAATTATGTAAGCTTGTGTATTAAAACTAGCTTATCTGTATAAAGCTACCGCACAGCTTATGCTGATGTTATCTCATTTAGATGCACTTTCTAGATATTTTAGTTTTTCAGTTACATTTATTTGTATTACACAGTCCACCATCTGTCTCTGGAGGAAGTGAGAGTAAGGTGTTTATGTGACTGTGAAATCACATGGTTTATGCGGAGGACGGTAAACCATGTTTTTGTTTTCTAGACAGGATATTCTGGCTTAGATTTAAACATGTTGTTTTGGTTGCCAATAACCTGATCCAACCAGATCAGAAACAACTCATAAGGGTTTTCTTATAGGCCAAGTGCTCTTGTGTTGTTGTGTCTCTTCAGTTCTTTGTCAAATTAAGGGGAAATAGCAAAGAATACTAAAAAATAAATTCATTATAATAAAATGTATTATGGTAAAAAAAACTGTATTCCTATTTTTTCTTAAATCCAGTTGTCAAAATAGTATTTGTCAGTAATCTCAACTGTATTTGATCGCACATCTTCAATATGCACAAACCTTGATGGCATTGGTGGAAATTTGGATCTCATGCAGCTTCCTCATCGTCCCGTCACGGTCGATGAAGTAGGACGAGGCCAGCTGATGAAGGGCTTCCACGTTCTGAGTTGCATTGACAAGCTTCCTGTCCAGCTTGTTTTTGGCCAGGTACATGGTCAGTGCCTCCTCTCCTAAAGGGATCACAAGGAAACAAAAACAAGTTTAATATTATTGATACTGCCTTTGAAGTTTTTTTGGGGGGGAAAAAGTACTTGATTTAACAAGTAAAGTATTAAATATTGTGAGTGTACAGTAGACTTGTGAGAATTGTCCCATGCAGGCTTATCTCAGAAGCCAATAGAGCTCTTAACAGGAGGGATAAGACAGAGGTCTGAATATCAGAGAAGGCACGTTTAGCTTGAGAAACCAGATGCCCCAGTTTTCCAGGAACAGTCTCTGTATTTGCTGCTTTATCCCTAGCTGGCACCATCCCCAGAAATGTCCCCGGAATTACCCCTATTGGGATGGTATTATTTCCATGAGAGGTCAAGCGATGTAGAATTTGTACCTCAAGACCACAGGAATTTTATCCTGTGGAGAAAAAATACATTGCATCCGGTATCTTTTTTCCACAGCTTCCCCGGGCAGAGAAAGACAAATTGAAGGTAAACAAAGAAATTGAAAATAACATAACCGTTTGCAGAGATTTCATTAGTGCAGAGAAATTAGTCAAATAGCAATGAGTACAGGAGGTTAATTAGGAGTCACTTGGGAGGGATTGTACCTGTTTAACTGTAATGCGGCATTGTGTAGCCTGTTCCTAGATAACCAGAGTCTATCCCATTTTTCCTCTGGAAAATAAATGAAATTATCTGCGGATGGTTAAAAATGTAATTACTGACCCGTCTGGTGATAATAACACTGCCTGCAGGGTTGTTTTCTGTTTCTTTCTCTTTTCCTCCATACCACTACTTGTTCTATTCTTTCGAACAATGGTTTTAAACCAAAAAAGAATACTTTTAAATGCCACGTTGTTTTCTCTTGAATCAACAGCAATCTGTTTGGTGTCATGCTGGCATAAGTATCTGCCAAATTAGTTTTAGAAATCAGATTTGAGCCAAACACTCCTAATGATCCATTGTTATCTTTGTTTCTTGTTGCTGTAATTTCTGAAAAATGTAGATTTAGTGGTACCTGAAATTCTTACTCTTTTGCTGAGGCAAAGTGAAAAAGCATCCACCTTTAGTTTGAAGTGAATTTAAATCCAGCTCAACTGCAATAAGGTCACAACTACTGTGGATATTAAGGATTATGGACACATACAAATCAGCATGTCTTTTATCTCTTTCCATTAATGCGGTACTATGACCAGATTCATATCTGTGATGTGGGAAATTAAGCCTCACCAGATGTGTGTACAGTATGTACAGTATGTTGAGTTTGAAAGTCCACAGGAGAACTGTGAGGGGGTGTACTTAAACCTAACCACTGACCGTTCAGTAAGCGTCTGCGTGCTACAAATGAAGATTTTTCAAGCAGTAACAGCGCCAAATATTTCTAGAGCACCAGACAATCTCTCCAATTTGCATGGCATGTTTGTTTGTTGACTCAATAAAAATGGTTGAGCTGCTCATCCTTTACACATCATATTTTTTCCCATCTCTCACTCCCGCGAGCAGAAACAGACGCATACAAAGCAAACAGACATTTTCCCGCGCGAGCACACACAAACTTGCCTTTGAAGATTACTGTTCAAATGGCAAACCTTATGCCTGGAACTCTTTCAAGAGCATGTCACATATGTTCAGGTTTCCAGTGATGTGAATGGTTATTCGGCCCCTAGCGATGCATTGGAATTGGTCACTTAACTTGTGGTGACCATGTGTAAGGGTGGGTAGCAGTCAGGGCAAATGTCTCATGCCTGGTTAGAGTAGAAGCACTGAAGGGACAAGAGCCCATTCTCTGACGCTGCCATGCCCTTTTACCCTCGGGGTGAGCAAAGTTACTTACACACACTTGACTTACACTACTGCGCAAGAATAACGGTCTCACATTAAGCCCTTTTTATCTCCATTGCGTCCTAGTGTGGCATAAAGGAGGCTCACTGTACTGTACATAAATACTGTGTGGTTATTGCTGCTGGTCTGGCTGAATCATTTCCTCCATGGCTTTAAAAGATTCATCAGCGTGCACCTTTCTGTAAGTAATACATTGTGTTACATTATTACGGGGCTCCTTGCTGGGACACTGCCAGAATTAATCAGCTCATGCAGAGCGTATGTGTTTACAGCTCAGATGTATTTTAAAACAATGTACTGTTTCACCTCGAACAGTGTGTGTGCAAAGGTGTCTCCTAAATGTACCTTTGCATATTTTTCTTTTTTGTGTGTGCAAGCATGTGGATATCAATGAAGGTTAGCAGGGCAAGTATGGTTTAAAAGTAATGGAATTGCTGGGAGTGCTATTTGGTGTTAATGGTACATGTGTGGGTCACTTTATGGAGCACATTAAACTATACCGCTTTATACCGTCCAGCGGAAAGACGCTAATGGTTATTATCGTTGTTTATTCTCTATACGAATACCACCCTTTAGAGGAACATAATATATACACACATTGAAACGTATTATGCGTTATTCTTTTAATGTATTTTTACGTAAGTCTTTTGGGAAGTTTGGCATATCATAATAATTGTTTTGTGATTGTTTAGCATTTACAATAATTGTGTGTATGTTTCAAATATGTCCAAACAAAAGAGGAAGAAACCCGACTAGGCAAATTAACTTTTTACATTAAGCAGGAAAACATTTTACAAACACCATCTCTGACTATACTGTTATAATTTATCCTTAAAAAACAGGTGTATATAATTCCTAAAATAAAAAAATGTAACAACTGCAAACGCATAATACATTCCAATAAGTAGAGGAATTAATTCAACCAATTTTCTACTCAACCATAACTCGATTGTCCCTGCTTTATGCAAGAGATATTCTGAAAGTGAAGCTGTTGCTTTGAGATAGCCACGGTCTCAATGGGAAATTATACCCTGTGCATTTTGTGTTGGCAGCATGACAAGAACAAGTAAAAAAAGAGTTAGGTAGCATCAACAGCTGCAGGGCCGTCTTCCAATACAACCCAGGGCACAGTCAGGGCTCTGCATATGAACTCTAGCCTCAGGCTTCGGTGACCACAACTCATTTCAATAAACTACTTCCACCTCTTCAATGCTGACAGCATGAGACTGGGGTGCTGAAGTGGTCTCCGATCCAGTCATAGTCTTGAGTATGCAGGAGAGAGTATGAGGGCAAATGAGTCCTCACAGCTGAGATACAGTCCCTCCTACATGTAATATCTTTATTTGGTCATAACGGTTATTTCCAGACCTTTAAGCGAGACCAAGAAAATGTGGACACAAACCGTTTTTTTCTATTGAAACGGAAATAAGAGATACTAAACGATAAAATGTACCATTCTTCAAATCATGAGGCTATGCAACCTTTTATGGTATTGTCAGTTGTGATATATTTTGAGAAATCTTAGAAGTTGATTGTGCTGTGTTCTCGACAATGCTGGGTGTTGTATTTCGAACTTGTCACCATAGTGGTTGTTGTAGCTGACGCTCAAAGGTCCCTTATTTATTGTTTTGTATTTTTTGAAGAGTGTTTAATGTATGCTTGAACTTTGTTTTATTTTGTAAAAATGATAAGAGTTGTCTTTCCGGAAGTCAATGTGACCTCTAGCCCTGGATGTTTATATTGTGTTTGTGAGAGAGTAAAAGGGCGCTAAAAGTGTCGATGATGTGATAACTCTACTGCTGGTCTACTAGGCGAACACGTTTTCATGGTGTTTCATGATTGTACAAAGAAGAGTGTAGGAGCCAAAATGCTTGTTTTTGCCTTACTTATTATTTGTATTATTATCTTGTATTTCTGTTTGCATCGCGTTTAATTCTTATTGTTTATCACTTCCGGCAATGGTCAAGTGGGTGTGGTTTATTGGTATTTAGCAGAGGTGTGGACTCGAGTCACATGACTTGGACTCGAGTCAGACTCGAGTCACACATTTTATGACTTGAGACTCGACTTGACAACATCACAAAAGACTTGCGACTTGACTTGGACTTGAACACCAATGACTCGGGACTTGACTTGGACTTGAGCCTTCTGACTTGAGGTGACTTGATACTTTAATTCAGAGGTCTCCAACACGCCGATCGCGAGCTGCCGCTAGAAGAGAAGACTCCCGTTGGGGAAAGCAGAATCTTCAGCCGCTCCTACTCTTGCTGAGAATCCTTGCAGGCAGGGGCGGGTCTTTATTTAGCTGGGCCACCATGCGGCCAATCATATGCAAGGACACACTAGGTCATACCATTATGTGAAAGAAGGGTGGGGGGCACAGCATGTGTAGTGGTACAGGCCAGCTGCACAGAGCGACGGGGAGACTGGGAGCCGGATTTAAATGCAAGCGCGTCGGAAAAAGTCAAGAAATGAGTGAAAACCGAAAAAAGAAGCAGCATATGGCTGCTTGTCAATGATATTGGAGAAAGCAAAGCTGAGTGCAGGATTTGTAAAATGAAAATAACCTTCAGAGCAGGGTTTTGTTTTGGTAACCACTCAGGATTTATTGTCAGAGGTGGGAGAAGTTCAGACAATTTAAAAAAAGTTACAATCAGGGTTCCCGCGGGGTCTTAAAAAGTCTTAAATTTGATAATCAGAATTTAAGGCCTTAAAAAGGTCTTAAATATGATTCAGAAGGTCTTAAAAATTATCGGATTTGAAAGGTACTTCTGCGTTGCGATAGCGTCTAAATGTGTTTTGGGGAAAATGTCCGGGCTGCAATTAACCAGTACGGTAATAGCCTTTCAGTCCCCCCAACAATTTGTATTGAATTAAATCAACATGGAACCAGTAATAACTAACTTTGTTTCTCCCGGCCCCTTATTGGAGAACACCCAGCTAGTAACCTATCAACCAAGCTTCAGCTCATGTAGCCTATCTTCGAATCTACTTACAAATAAATATGGGGAAGTGTAAGTTCAACCGTATTTGGTTGGAAAACATCTAATTTAGTGCTTGGTTGAAACCAGTGGAGGGTTAGGGTTTGAAGCCCGCTGCACCTTTTGCAAAATAAATTAGTGTTTGTTTTGCTAATGTAGCGTTAGCTAGTGCAGCAGCAGCTAATGTAGCGT